TAAATTTCATGACCTAATGTGTTCTTAGACCATCTCTATGTGTAACTTTACTAGCATTGCACTCGTATTATGATTTGAACCTCTTTAACATTTGGCTTTTTCTTAAAATCTCCAATTTTTGAGATATGTTATTTGAATATGCTTCACCTGAATAATTTGGACCTTCTTAAGTTCATTTAGCCTAATGTATTGGTACCTGAATGTCTACATTCATGTTTGACATGAGTTTGCTTTCCTACTCTACTTTGAATTCCTGCAATGACTGCCTCGCATCTGTAATGTGTTATAATCTGTGACTTGCTCCCCTGCTATCGTGTCACTCAGCATGTCTTTGGCATACTTGTTTCCATATCCCTTTAGTGATTATTTGAGACTTTAGAGTAGCTATCTCAACTTGTGTTTGATACTTTTTTTTTATGTAAGTTAGCATGTCTGTCTTTTGATAATGTGATGGATACTTGGGACCCCTAGGCTTTAAAATCTTTATGTTGGCACTCTACTTAGATTTGTTTGGTATTATGCATCTTTATATATTAATCTTGTAATCTCAGGGCACTTGTTTATCCCCTAACTCTTTCAATGTGTTTCTGCCAATGTGTTACTTCTTGCTAAGTGTTGAACCTATAATAGCAACCTGCCTCTAAGTCTTTTTGACCTTCTTAACTAGCATATTCTATGTTTTAGACAACTTTGCTATGCATGCTTTTTAAAATACAAGTGTATCTCTTCAAATCCTGTCCCTTAACCATTGTTCTCTCATTCTCATTTGTTGCCTACACTACTCTAAATCTATCACTCTTGGCCGGCTGAAAGCCAAGGCCACTAAGACTTTCTCTATTGACCTCCCTAGTGTGAGCACTGCTCAGGGTCCATTTGAGACCTTTGTGAACTCTGACACACTAGGACTTGGGGTTATTTGGCCACTCTCCTTACTACTGAGGCTTGAGCTATCTCTGACACTCAGTTCTTTCCTCATTCTATCTACTGAATATGCAAATTGGTTTGTTTAAGTGATTCAATGTTTGGGTCATATGGTCAATCTGTGGCTGTTTTGTTTGGCTTGAGTTCCTCTATGATTTCTGGACTGTGCTGATGAATATAGTCCCCTGTTGGGATCTGGGTATGCTATGTGTGAATAAAGAGTTGTTGAAGGCCCAAGCAATACTGGGTATCTCCTTTTGGGCCTGCTATAGGTCTACTGTTGCTGCTTGTATAATATTTTGTAATTACATTCATCATTGGTTATGTAATAATTTTGTAATAAATGATTGGGGTATTAGTGAAATCGGGAAAATGGGCACGCTCTAATGTTTGCATGCAAGGGTAGAAAACATGCCTATAGGATTCATATGATCTACTTGTTATCCAACCTTCTATATATTCCATTCAATTTCCATGTGCACTGGTAGAAATCATTCCATTAGGAGAACCACACATTCACACAACTTGCCTACTATCAAAGCATAAGTTCTTTATGTATTCCTATGTCTACTGCTAGACAGCATGCCTATAGGAAACAGAATATCAATGACCATTCTTTCAATTTGCATAACTGCAGCATATTCACTAGTAATCATGCCTATAGGATTTTAATTAGTTAATTTGCTATTGTTATCATACTACTCACCTAGAAAACATGTCTATAGGGGCTAAGTATAAAAAATTAGTTCCAATCGCCAATCATTAGAAATCCTGCCTATAGGGTATTACTACTCGCTCTAAAGTGTTAATGCTGAACTTTTCAAACGATGTTTTATTGCTTAGCCACTCCACTATTAGAAAGCATGAGTAATTTTGAGTATTTCCAACGGTCTTCACTATCCCTCCTACTGCGTAAATCACTTAGAAATCATGTCTATAGGTTTAAAACTTATAACCTGCAATCTCAATAATCAGCATGCAAACCATACAATTTTTTGGAAATCATGTCTATAAGTTTAAAGTAGCGCCTTGCATCTGAAACTGCCTGCACGTTTGAATCCAAGGTCACATGGAAATCATGTCTATAGGGCTTAAGGATTTTAATTTATCTCAGTTCTAAAACTGTCTAACGCCTAATATGAGTACTTATTTTGCGTGCATTTGTTGTTTAAGTGTTGAGGCTAACTTGAGCCCTTAACTGTCCTTACATGAAGTCCAACTTGTTTTGTATGTCGCCTAGTTTTATCATTTTGAGAAGCCTAAGTAAAGTCTAGAACCACCCAAATAGAGTTTCAATGCCTCCTGGACCGTAGGTATGGGACGGGTAGTGCACGCATAAGGTACGACTTAGAATTGAATTAGAGCGCATTTAGGTAAACAACTTTAACATAGTAATCGGGTAGCAGGAGATAGTATGTGCCCGCTGAATAATATGAGTAACTCCCTACTTCAAGGGAGTTGCGAAATATTATTTATGTTGCACGGGGTGATCCTTTAGGCTAAAAAACTTAGGACCCCCATCTTCTTTATACATTTAGTCATCTAATATAGACCGTTAAAGTTATATCCTTGTAACCCTTATTTGTGTTATAATAAATTTCTTTGACCCTTACCCTCTTTGTTTATCTTGCCTAAATTATAATCCATATAGTCTTAAGTTCGGTCGGGACCCACAGTTGTGGACCTCGAAGAGTGCCTAACATCTTTTCTTTGAGGTAATTTGAGCCCTTACCCGATATTTGGTGGCGTTGACTAGTCAAAGAGAGCTATTTGCATAATAGGTGCCCTAACGCACCTTAAAAATCGTTAGGTGGTGACTCTTCTCTTCTTTTAACACCCTATCTCCCATTTAAAAGAGTTGTAATATGTCAAAGCCCACTTTTGTGAGAAAACGGGGCACGGCAGTCCCAAGTGGTTAGGGGGTATTTCATGAGTCGACTTAGCAATTTTCGGGTTTCCCTCGACCCATTCCTGTTTAACCCATTTTGGAAAGCGGCTACCACCATCCCCTTCGATACATTCAGAAGAGACATTCTCACACGGATGAATCGGGCGAGGAAGTCCCTGAGTCCTTCGCCGAGTGATTGTTTGATGGCGAATATGTCGTTCACCCTCGCCTCTGCTTTCTTAGCCCCGGCATGGGCAGTGACGAACTTGTCGGCCATTTTCTTAAACGTTTCTATGGAGCACGTGGGTAATTGTGAGTACCAAGTCAGCGCTCCCCCGGTTAGAGTTTCACCAAACATTTTCAGCAATATGGATGACACTTGTTCCTTGGCGAGGTCGTTTCCTTTCACTGCAATGACATAGTGGGTCACATGATCCTCAGGGTTCGTCATACCATCATATATTTTTAATTATGACAGCATTTTGAAGGTTTTGGGTATGGCGTGTGGTGCAGCCTCGTCACTGTATGGTTGCTCCATGAACCGACCGACGTCCCATTTTAGGGCACCCGGTATTTTGTCCACCCTTTCTTGGTGTTCCTTCATTTGGTCGTGGAGCACTTTGTTCTCGTTCTCCATCTCCTCCATCTTCCTCAGAATGGCTGTAAGGGTGTTATTACCTGCATCATTAACGGTGTGAGTGATACCTGTTACATGAGGAGGGTTGTGCTGCTCATCAGTCACTGGTGTGACGCAAACTCGTACGTCCTCCCTGCTCGTCCTTTGGGCGGGTTTGTCGAGTATACTAGTTAGTGTGCTCATTAATCATGCCTCTAGTAGCATTTTCACTGCTGGTGGTGCCTCTTCCGCTGTGGACATAGAGGCCCCTTTTCCATGTGAGGTTGTGACGCTGCCATGAAGGAGGGGTGAACCACCCCGCTTGGAAGAAGTGTTAGGTGTCACGTTCTCCTCGTCTATTCCAGTGACCTCATTGATAGTGTCTAGGAGGTTGGCAGTAAGACCAGCCACTGATTTCATTCTTTCATCTCCATTACCTGCCATGTTATACTATGCACGCGGGAAAAGACAATATTTTGTGTCGTGTTGTTTTTCTTTTCTTAGATCTAGAAGAAATTAAAACTTTGACTAGGAAGTCCCCACAAACAACGCCAAATTATTTAAACAAAAAATATAAATCCTTGGTTAAACTAATTCATGAGTTATTAAGGCGGGTCAATCCTAGTTAGAACTAATAATTCTAGATCTAAGATGGATAACACGAACAACAATATAGTTGAATGAAGATGTGGGCAATAAATGTGGCCAGATGTAATAATATGCAAAAAGATCAAGCATTAAATAACATTAAATGGCAGTAAATATAAATAGAGGGGAAGATTCACCCAATATTGAAGAGGGTGAAGGATTCCTTCCTTTGACAATGATGAATGACACGAGTGTGAGAGAATATTATACACTTTCTTGGATCCGATAGAAATGACAATAGAATAGTCCACAAAAAGGTTGAATCTCTGCTAAAAGTAGTTCTTTATATTTTCTTTGAGAGCTTATCCTTTTACAAGTGTTCTTATCATATGGAATATTACATGTCTTTTCCCCTTCTTTCTTTCTATTTATATGGGATATTCCCCAAGAACCCTAAAAGTATAAACAGAGAGGATATTCGGTAGAATATTCCCTCTGAACTGGTTGCTGAGCTGAGATGGCTCATGAGATTACTGATCGACAACGACCATGCCACTCGTAATAGTTATCAAGTCGCTCTCATCATCCTCTTCTGCACGACTTGATCCTCAATCTGATTTTGACCCATACATAGTTGGTCTAGAATTTGGTTTTCAATTGTAGGCATTTCTCTCTTTCACATGTCTTGATTCTTATTCTTACATGCAGTGTTACTAAACACCATGGTTTTGCTGCATAAAGCAATGAAGCGATTTGAAGAGAGGGGTTGTCATTTCATAGGTGATGCCATACACTTCAAACAAATATTCACAAAGTGATCCAAATAGAAAGCGTATTGTTTGACTAGATGAGTCATGCCCGAGCAAGCACGGGCCCAAAAATTTCTGTTAACCTTTAGTTGCATCCACAGAAGACATATATTGAAATCTAAACAGCAATAAATATTTCAGAATAACCATAATACCACACACACATAAGCACATTTGTAATTTTGTTTTATAGATTATGACATAGAAGACTACATATTATATCTGAGTATATAATACAAGCTCACAATTGTGAATTCAAGAACAGTAAATTTTTCTCCCATCTTCAAATCACATTCCCTAAGATAGCTGTAAAAATGACAGTCTTGTTGATTTGTTCATATGCACCTTCTCCAAAAGAGTTCCATTTTCAAATTACTCCAACAAAATTAGGATTGAGACATGCGCCCGTGTGTTAAATTTTAACACATCTACCTGAGATGTATAAATGAGACGTGTAAATAACAATAATCCTTGAAGAGAAAGCCTATTAATATACAAACACAAAAAGTGAAGCACGGTCCCATCACTAAATAGCCAATTTAACATATATAAACAAAAGAAGCAATTTCATAACCAGTGAATTCAAGCATAGAAAAATTTGCTCCCTGCTATAAAACTATTCCTTGCATGCTTGTTCATCCACGCTATCCTGGAGAAGCTACATCCTGAAATCAATCTACAATAATTTAAGGATGAGACATATCATATCAAAAGTGAAAACTTGAGAAAACCTGTTGGAGTTGATCCAAAAACCCACTGATCATGAGTCCCAAATTTTTGACATGGCTAAAAGTTGTTACCTGTAGATATGACTTAATTTTTCATTTCTGTTGTGTCTACCTCTGTGTTTCTCTGCCATGTAACACAAAATGTAAGTAATAACAGGATGGCATTTAAATCAAACATATACCAAAAAAAAATATAAGCCCTTAGATTCTTTTGCAGTACGTTAATAGATATCCATCGTCTCTTTAATAATGCATATCAGTAGTTCAGAACCCCAAGGAGCAGATAGTAACACAAACAGTACATTTGAAAGTTGGTCTAACTTAAGGACATAATCAGGACCTGCAAGTTCTTTTGAGTTAACGGCTCACAAGGCTTGTATGAACAAATACAAAAGTCTTTTTACCACTAATGGTCAAAGTATTTACATCTGGTACAAGACTTTGACATGCATAACTCAGGTGCTTCAATATGGAGTATTTTAGCGCCCTCAACTATGAGGAGCTAAAAAAATGCTAAATCGGTTATAGATTAGAGAACAATCGTCACCTTTTAATCTTTAATGCAAAGTTCATTCTAAAATAGTAGCAAGTCCATGTACTAACAAACATAAGATGCTAGTCCCAAGGAGTAATGCAAGCTCAAAGTAGAATTCAAAGTAACTGAGAGCGATAATTTAAAATGGGAAATCCCCTTAGAAATACATTTGGAAGAACAAATTTTCTTCCTTCCAGATGCATATCTAATATTGTTTTAAAAAAAAGAAATTAGAGATACATATGAGAGAAAAACATTGTATTCTTCAAGCCATACTATTCATTTATCTAGGAAGTACGTAAGAAGCCAAACTATCAAAAGCTTTATAACAAACCAATTACAAGCATATGAGCAACCAAAGAAAAAAAAAGAAATAGTCCCTTGAATAAACATAACTTGGCATGTTAATCAGTATATAAAAGGGTGGAGACGCAAGTCATTTAAAAGATAATAGAACCAACATGGTGCCTAGATTACCTGTCAACGATTTATCATCGTCTGTAAAAGCAGTTCTATCAATTCTTATTTTATGGAGCCTGATGCTGGAAGTTTGATAGAAAACAAAGCCATCATGTACATGAAAAGGATGCTGCAAATTTAAGGAGGTATCAAAAGTTCACATTAGAAAGTTAATGAAAATGACGTTCAATTTGGGCAAGAGACAAAGTATATCTAAGTATTTAATGAGAACTCCCTTCATGAATACTTTACAATGTGAAAGGATATAATAACTTACAAATTTCAATCAGTCTCTATGTAAATACCATCAAGTAGACTTTATAAAGCATTTCAAAGTAGCAGCTCTCTGTAATTCCTTCAACCTGTTAGCCCCCATCCAAGCTCTCGTCTTTCTGAGATCTGAATAACCAAGAACTTCTTGTCGCATTAGCTAGAGTTTGATTTGTTTTCTCTCTTCCTCCAAAAGACATATCAACTGCAACAAACTTTTTATGGGATAGTTGGTAGGTCCTTCCAAATATACAACATAATATGGTCAAAGATTTGGTGTAGTAGGTAAGTAAAGATGCTAATAGTCATTCCAGTTGAATTTGCATGCAAATATTTTTACCAGTGTGGCACATGAGACTAAAACTCATCAGTTTAATTAAAAGTTCATCTAACTGATAGGTCGCATTTTAATTTTCCTGCTCTTTAATAATCTGATAGAATTTACTGCACAAATAGAAAATAACAGGAAGAAATACTAATGTATTACACTGAAAAATACAGAATCTACTTCAACAAAGTTTGAGAATAACCACTCCAATACTGATAACTCCTAAATTACAGCATATAACATTCTAGACTGAATAGAAAATGACTGAAATCAATACTAGCAACACAGAGCCAAAATATATATTACTAAGATTACGAGACATGAAATTTCTAAACATTCAAGAGGCTAGAACTCTCCCAAGGATTCTTTATTTTTCTGTTGAATATTTTTTCCCTACTGCTTCCTTCTTTCTCCAGATAAAACTGCCTAATACATGAGTAACTGTCAACAGACAATTACTAAGTTTTCAATTTGTTACTTTTGGCCCTCCTGGAATAAGTTTTTATAACCTGAGGCTTATTACCATCCCCTATATGAGTCACCTTGTCCTCAAGGTGAAAGTCAGAAAATTGTAGATCAATGATTGCATAGTCCTCCCAAGTGTTCTCAAATTCAGGCAGGTTCTTCCACTTGATTAACGCCTTCCATTTATCATTAAGTAGCTTCTTGATCTGCCTCACTGCTTCAGGTTCAACTTGAAGCTCCAATTCTGTTGTAAGAAATGAAGGTAGGTCTTGAGTAGGTGTAGTTGGTTGCAAGAATTGTCTCAACTATAAAACATGAAACATTGAGTTAATGCGTGCTCCAACAGGTAACTCCAACCGATAAGCTATGAGACCAATCTTCTCTAGAATCTTGAAAGGGCCATAAAAATGGGGACTGCGATTTTTATTAATCTTCTTAGATAGAGAACGCAGTTTGTATGGCCATAGTTTGAGATACACCATTTCTCCAACCTCAAAATTCACTACCCTGCGATGTCGATCAACTTGATTCTTCATTCTTTGTTGTGCATGTACCATATGGTTTTTGGGCTCAGTAATGATCAAATTTCTAGTATGAACTTGTTCATTTACTTCTTCCACTGCAAAAGTAGTGTCATCTATGTGAAATATCGATGGTGGATCCCTCCCATATAATGCTTTGAAGGGTGTCATGCCGGCAGATATGTTAAAGGATGTATTAAACCAATATTCAACCCAAGCTAGCCAATGGAACCATTCCTTAGAATTTTCTCCAGTCGTACAACAAAGATATGCCTCCAAACTCCTATTAACCACTTCCGTTTGCCCATCAGTCTCTGGATGATATGCGGAGCTATAGCGTAATGTAGTTCCTGCCATTTTAAATAACTCCCTCCAATAGATTTAGGAAAACCATGTAACTTAACCACTTCCTTAGCAAAAACAGCAACCACATCTTTAGTATTAAAAGGATGAGAAAGTGGGATAAAGTGTGCGTACTTAGTAAGACGGTCTACCACAACCACTATAGTGTCAAACTTATGGTATTTAGGAAGACCGGTAATGAAATCCATACTTACATCTTCTCACACATGCTGAGGTATAGGTAAAGGTTGAAGTAATCCGGTTGGACTCAAAGTTTGAAACTATTCTTTTGACAAGTTTCACACTTGGCAACGAAGTCTTGCACATCCCTTTTCATACCTTCCCAGTAAATATTTTAAAACAGCCTCTTATATGGAACTCCTTCAACAATCCTGGGATTCTGGGTGATCCTTTTGGCAAAACCAAACATCCCTTGAACAGTAGACATCCATTCTTCAAGCTGTATTTGTCATTTGTTTGTTGTCCTGTAATTAACCTTTGCAAGATAGAAGCCATTTTACTGTCTCTTTTTACTTCTTGGTCCCATTCCTCCTTGTCTTCGTACTTCCAAACCGAAATGGCATATAACTCTGCAGATTCCCCGCATCTGGATAGTGCGTCAACCACTCTATTTTCAGCACCCGATTTGTACTTGATCTCAAACTTATAACCCATGAGTTTGGAAACCCATTTCTGCTGATTCTCATCCATTAACTCGTTGTTCCAGCAAAAATTTAAGGGCTTTCTAGTCAGTTTTAACGATGAAATGATGACCCATCAAGTAGTGATTCTATCTCTTGATGGCCAACACAATGACCATTAGCTCTCGTTCATATAACGAGCATTGTCTTGCTCTAGAAGAAGGAATTCTACTGAAATATGCAATAGGTTTACAATTTTGCATTACAACTGCGCCAACACAAAATCCTGAAGCATCAGCTTCAATTACAAAAAGGTTGAGAAAACTCCGGCATCGCCATGACGGGTACTTGAGTCATAGCCAACTTCAAAGCCTCAAAAGCTTGTCGAGCTTGTTTCCCCCCAAAAAAGCATTTTTCTTCAATAAATCTGTTAATGGGGCAACAATCTTACCATAGTCTTTGACAAACTTTCGGTAGTACCCAGTGAGTCCCAAAAACCCCCGCAAACACTTGATATCTCTAGGAACTGGCCAAGATATCATACTCTCAATCTTGGAGGGATCTTCCTGCACTCCTTCAGAGGAGATGATATGGCCCGAGTATTAAAGTTTAAGACGCACTTCTTCTTGTTGATTACTAGTTGGTTCTGTTTGAGAATATCTAAAACAACCTTCAAATGCTCAAAATGAGAACTGACTGAAAAGTCGAGGGTGCATTGGTCAAGCCGAATGGCATGACCATGAACTCATAATGTCCCTCATGGGTGCGGAAAGCTATTTACGCTTCATCTCCAGTTTGAATGCAAATATGAGGATATCTCGACTTAAGATCCAACTTGGTAAATACGGTGGCTCCCCCTATCTCATCAAGTAGATCATCAATGCATGGTATTGGAAATTTGTCAGAGACTGTGATGTCATTAAGAGCCCGATAATCCACGCAAAAAATGCCATTCCATCCCTTTTCTTAACAAGTAATACTAGACTAGAATATGGACTAGTACTAGCCCTAATGATTCCAGCAACCATCATCTCTTTGACCAAATGCTCGATCTCAGTTTTTTGAGAATGAGGATATCGATATGGACTAATAGTAATAGCATGATCCCGAGAACGATGTGGTGGTAGACCCGAAGTTTGCTCACATATTTCTAGATAATCAGATAACAACTCCTCAATCTCCTTTGATGTTATAGTTGTTTCATCTTCATGTACTACCTGATTCAACTCAATCCAGAATCTTTGGTTCCCTTTCTTTAGCAAATTGTTCATCGCTTTTAATGACACAACTGTCTGAACCATACCTGGATCCCCCCGAAGCAATACCATTCTTCATGCATCTTCAAATTTCATGGTAAGAAGTTTTTAGTTTACCCTCATCTCACCCAAAGTGGCTAACCATTCCATCCCCAATACCACATCAGTTCCAATTAATTCAAACAGAAAATATTGTTGGTGAATTTTTACTCCCTGCACGTCCAACCTCACCCATTTGCATACTTTATTCCCACTGACTTGTTGATCATTACCAACTATTACTTCAAATTTGTTGGTCTTCTCAATAGGTAATTGCAGATGACAAGCAAGGTTGGAAGATATAAAGTTATGGGTAGCTCCGCTGTCCACCTAAACTATCACGTCTTGCCCATGAATTTTTCCCACAAGTATCATTGTTCTTTCTCCAGTAAGGCCCACAACCGAATTCATATTCAACACCATCATAGTAGCCTTTTGTTCTCCTTCATCTGTAGCCTCTCCGACGACCTCAAAGAATTCTTATGTTTCCTCTTCCTCTGTGTGTAACGACCCGATCGGTTGTTTCGAGAGTTATAGCCCCATTTTTCCCATTTCTTCTTTCTTTTGTGCTTTTCAGCTATATTATGGTATACCAGGTTAGTTGATTCGTGTCCGGAGTAATTTCAGAGTGGATTGAAACACTTAGTCTCTAAAGTAGAAACTTAAGTTGGAAAAGTCAACCGGATATTGACTTATGTGTAAACTATATCGGATTTTATTTTTGATGGTTCTGTTAGCTTCGTTAGATAATTCTGGACTTAGGAGTGCATCGGGAATGTGATTTGGAGGTTCGTAGTAGAATTAGGCTTGAATTGGCAAAAGTTAGAAATTTGGCGATATCGGTCGGCAGTGAAAATTTTGATATCGGGGTCGGAATGGATTTTCGGAAGTTGGAGTAGGTTTGTGGTTTTATTTGTGATGTGTGTGAAAAATTTGAGGTCATTCGAACGTGGTTTGGTAGGTTTCGGCGTCATTTGCAGAATTTGAAAAGTTAAAAGTTCTTAGGCTTGAATCCGAGGGTAATTTGGCGTTTTGATGTTATTTTGAGTGATTTGATGATTTTTTTAAGTTTGTATGTTGATATGACTTATTGGTATATTTGGTTGAGGTCTCGAGGGGCTCGGGGTGAGTCTGGGTGGTTAACGAATTGTTTGAAGTTGGAAAAATGTAGACGAAGCTGCTGCTACTAGTATTTCCGCACCTACGGAGGGGGAGCCGCAGGTGCAAGGTCGCTGATGTGATTGGTGAGCCGCAGATGCGGATATAGAGGACTTGGGCTTGAACTGTAGGTGCGTAATATTGGTCGCATCTACGAGCCCGCAGATACGAGGCTGAGTCACAGATGCGGAAGTCAGGAGGTCTGGCAGTGGCCGCATGTGCGAGGTCTTTTCCGCACCTGCGAGGTCGCAGAAGAGGATTTGGAACGCAGGCGCAAGGATGGGCACTTAAGTGATTTTCCGCAGAAGTGGAGATTTGTGGGCAGAAGCGGCTCCACATGTGCGCATTTTTGAGCTGCAGGTGCGAAAACCTAGGCAGAACCTATAGATAGAAGACTTCGCGAATTTTTGTTCATTTCCAC